GGCTTTTTTCTTTTTGCTTATGTGGTGCTGAGGAATCGAACCCAGGGCCTCATGCATGCAAGGCAAGCGCTCTACCACTGAGCCACCTTCCCAGTCCCAAGAGCTTTTTTTTTTAAATCATTCATCTTTCTCAATGCTTAATTTTTCCTTATGACCCTTGGTAATTTTCTTATCTATAAAATAAGGTCATTGAAATTTATAACTCCAAGTTATATTATGATCTAGCATATCTCCACAGATGAAGGAGGTATTTGATAGAAGCAGTGAAGAAAAGTAGCTTAGTTCCTACACAAAATAGAACATGTCTTTCTTGACAAAGTAGTTCCTAGAGGTACTCTTTGCATAAATGGTGAAATAAGCTAGAAAAAGAGTAGGGGGCTGGGAATGTGGCATGGTGTAGAGTACTTGCCCAGCATGCATGAAACCCTGGGTTCCATTCCTCAGTACCACATAAACAGATAAAGCTGGAAGTGTACTGTGGCTCAAGTGATAGAGTACAAGCCTGGAGACAAAGAGCCTTAGGGTGCCCTGAGTTTAAGCCCAGGCCCTGAGGTTAAGCCCCAGGACTGGCAGAAAAAAAGGAGAGGGCGGGATTTTTTTCCTTAAAAGTTTTCCCTGGAGGGCTGAGATATAGCTCAGTGGCAAAGTGCTTGCCTACCAAGTGCAACGTCCTGGGTTCTATCCCCTGTAACAAAAAAGAAAAGACAAAAAAGCTTTCCCTGGGTAACAAAAACTGTTTAAATAAGCAGAAAATACTTAAAAGTCCAAACTTACTTGAACATGCAGCCTTTCTTTGAAGAGTTCCTGTTGACATTCTAGGAACTAGAATACAGTTGGGTAGTGCTGATCTAAAGAATTTTGGCCCTTTTGGATTGATCTTTAACATCCCTACCTAAGCTGGATGCTGGTGGTTCATGCCTGTATTTCTAGCTACTCAGGAGGCTAAGATCAGAGGATCACAGTTTGAAGCCAACCCAGGCAGAAAAGTCCCCATGAAACTTTTATCTCCAATTAACCACTCAAAAAAACCAGAAGTGGAGCCGTGGCTCAATTGGTAGACCACTAGCGTTGAGCACAAAGAGACTCAGGAGCAGCACCCACGCCCTGAGTTCAAGCTCTACAACTGACCAAAAAATAAATAAAAATCATTTCTTGATTTAATCTTAGGGGATTGAGTTTGGAGACATGTCTCTTCATATGCTAACCTGAAATAGCCTTCCCTTGTCATGGCTGTTTTTTAATGGGATTTTTTTAAAGAGCAGCTTTAGGTTCACAGCAGAATTGTACTTGCTTATTAACCTATCACACATAGACTCCCCCAGTATCAGCATTCCTCTCCAGAAGCACTTTTTTTTTTTGGTCGGTCATGGAGCCTGAACTTTGGGCCTGGGCACTGTCCCTCAGCTCTTCAGCTCGAGGCTAGCCCTCTACCACTTGGGCTATAGTGCCACTTGTGGCTTTTTTCGCAATCTCTCTGGTTTTGTCCTCTGTCATGACCACTTGTGTCATTTATAACTAACTTTTCTTCCCATACCAGGTTTATTCAGCGTAGCCCTGTCACCTTACTGAGGAGTCAAGTGGTCATCCCAATCTTACAGTGGGCCATTGCTTCTACCACCCTGGACCACCGAGATGCCAATTGTAGTGTCATGAGGTTCCTACGAGATCTCATCCATACAGGAGTAGCCAATGATGTAAGTATAAACAGTGTAACTTTTCTACTCTACAGGTTATTCTCTTTCTCGTTTTTTAAGGGAAGACCAGTATTGTAGCATATTCTTACTTGATTTGTATTAGTGGACATGCTATAGTGGATCACTTACTAATCAAATCATCAACCTCTAGATCTAAAATTTCTATAATAGTGCTGTGTATACGCAGTGCAAAGCATTTGAAGATTATCCCTGCTCCCAAACCATTTGGCATTTTATAAATAGGTATAAAAAATTATAAAAGGAAAGGGGCCAGGCACTGGTGGCTGATACCTGTAATCCTAAGCTACTCAGGAGGCTGAGAGCTGCGGATCATGGTTCAAAGCCAACCCAGGTGGGAAAGTCCATGAGACTCCTATCTCCTCAATTAACCACCAGAAATCTGTAAGTGGCACTGTAGCTCAAGTGATAAAGTGCTATCCTTGCTGAAGAGCTCAGGGAGAGCGCCCAGGTGCAGAGGTTAATCCCTACAACCAACAAAAAAAAAAGGAAGAAGGATAGAGATGAGGTTCAAATGATAGAATGCTTACCAGGCTCAGTTGGTCTGAGTTCACAAGAAAGAAAGAAATGGATTTGGGGTAATTTTTTGGAAGAGCTTAAGGACTTAAAAGCAGCCATAAGATAGAGTTAGAACTTAAGAGTTTGAAGAGAAGAGGATAGTCTTAAATGATTTCTAAAGCATGCTTAGGAAAAGTCAGGATAAGTATTGCTATGGTTCAAAGTGATATAGAGTGCTAGCCTTGAGTGAAAAAGCTCAGGGACAGCAACTAGGCCCTTAGTTCAAGCCCCACACCAGTTTTTAAAAAAAGAAAAAGTCAGGATAGGACTAAGTGTCTTAGTAGATAACTAAGAGGTTTAATTGGTGCTGGGGATGTGGTTTAGTAGTAGAGCACTTTTGACTAGCATGTACAAGGACCTGGGTTCCGTTCCCAAAAAAAGATAGACTTTCTATAGTAGTGAAGTGATTCACAAGATTTTCCGAGATAGGATGGGAATGTGGCTTAGTGGCAGAGTACTTGCCTAACATGCATGGGGCCCTGGGTTTGATTCCTCAAAACCACATAAACAACAATCAAAAGATAAAATAAAACAGATGAAAACACTCAAAAAGATTTTCAGAGATAGATTTGGCTAGATGGGAAGTAGAATTGAAAATTGGGGAGAGGAGTAAAGAAGTATGTGAAATGATCTAATTATTTAACAAGTTTGGCAGTAAGAGGAGAGAAGAAAATAATTAGAAGTGGAAGGCTATTTTTAAAAAGTTTTTTCTCAAAATAGTAGAAATATGAATATTTAAATTTTCATATTCCTTGTACGAAGGAAGAAAGTCAAGGTTGCTTTAAGGACACAGTTAAGGAATGGAACAGGGAGAGGAGAAATTTTAAAAGAATAGAGACAAATTATTTTTCACAGAAAAATTAAGAAAATACTAGCTTTAATTATTTTTGTTTGTTTGTTTTTTGTTTTTGGGTCCGGTCATGGGGCCTGAACTCTGGGCCTGGGCACTGTCCCTTAGCTCTTCAGCTCAAGGCTAGCGCTCTACCACTTGAGCCACAGTACCACTTCCGGCTTTTTTCTGTTTTGTTTGTTTGTGTTTTTGTTTTGTGTGTGTGTGTGCATGCATGTGTACATGTGTGTATGCCAGAACTCAAGACTTCACATCCACACTCTCACTTGGCTGACACTCTACTACTTGAGCCATGGCTCCATTTCCAGCTTTTTGGTGGTTAATTGGA